GTGTCTTCTAACACCGTATCTAAATTAAATAAATTACAAAAGCGCAAAGAAGAATTACGGATTTACAAAATTTCTAAAAGAAAAAACACTGATATGCAAATTCAAATGAAACGAACCAACTCTGTACCGTAAATAATCCCCCAGATGTACTTAATGAATAGAAACATTCTGATCTACAGAATGCCTCGTCATTATTTTTGTTGTTTCGATCGAAATAACATCTGACGTTGTCGTGCATTTAAGAAGCCCCCTGAACCACAGCATAATTTAAATAACTTCCACTAGGCGGCGCTGAGCCCAGTATCGGTGTCATACTGGGGGTTCCCCTTCAGTGGGGGCCCTAGTCGCCGTACTAGACTAGGACAGTTCTGGCCCAACTCTGCTCTGAACATTACACAGTTTCTAAATGGAGACCACTTCAAATTTGAGAAACCCAACGCAACATTTTTTAAAATAATTTTTTATTATACCTGAATCACAATCTCCGTTTTAAACACTCAAATGCGTGCGAAAAAGGGCCTTTAAAACACACGTGCTTTAAAGTTGCTAAGTAACGATACTTCAAGTATGACTTTTGAAACTGTCATCTGGATGAAATAAAAAATCCTCTTAGGTCGCTTTCTGTAAATGCAGAACATTTCTTTGGCTTTTGTACCTATCCTTCGGTTGAAGCTTTCACAAACGCGCGTAATTTAGGGTATGCTTCCAAATCTGTTCCACTTTTTAATCGCAGCATTGCTTTAAAGTTTTGAATGAATGCACCAAATATAGAAGATTTAAATACCTTTGACATTTCCTTCATATATGCCAGCATTATGGATGCATTTAAGACTGTATTCGTAAGTAACTTCCTATTCGTCCATGGAAACAACTTTTCATATTCTTTATAATAGGCTTTACTGGATTTGGATTTTACACCTACCAAAGTTTGTTTAGATTTTACAACAAGCGATTTAATGGACGGTGTATTATCTTTTTCAACGGAAATCGTTTTATTTACAAAGATTATGATGATTATAAGCAAACGTCAAGTGACATTTCCATGGCAATCGTGAAATTTTGAACACCCAGCCCACTTAATTAAACATGTATTCGAGTATAACGTCAATATGACTTCATTGTATTTCCTATTTTTAAATTATACTGCAGGTATAATAAAAAATACTATAAGATACACGTGTATAATTGGTCTTTAGAGCACTTGCAACGTTAAAGGCACTCCGCTTTGCGTCGTGCCCTTAAACTCGTTGCGCGTGCTTTAAAGACTTGATTATACACTTGTATCTTAATATACTATTTAAAGTACGGTCTATATCAAAATTGTATAGTTTCCAATATTATAGACAGATATCATGGCTTGTTCCAAAATGATGTAAATCGTAGGTATGATATAAATCGAAAAATGAGAATTTTCCGACATTTCGGTGTATTGCACATTCTCATCAATATAATTATACAAATAAAAATTATATCTCGTGTTATAACTCTTACACTCATACAAAATAGCTTACACATTAATACAATTCTTTGACAACCCTTTAACACCTTAGGTTTTATTCGAGGTTTTATTATAGGCGTTTGCTTAGATTTTGGAAATTATATTACTTTTTTCCACATTTGTACGAAGCAATCTTGAATGTGGTGTTATAGTATGGAATTCAGCATTTCAAAAATACGAGCAAGAACGTATACGTTGTCTTTTAAAATATCTAGCATTACGCTGTAATGGATACGACCCTGCAAGAGGCTAACCACAAAATCTACTGCTAGAAAGTTAAATTTTTTACCCATAAGTAGCAAACGTAAAAGAATTAAGTGTGTCATTCTTGTATATACGCTCCCAAACGGTGGCAGGTACTATAGGAATCACCCTGTACATTACTATGGAATGAAATTTCGCTATACCTCCAGGTATTTCAAAAATTTTAAATTAACCTATTGCAAAACAAATCTTTTACAAAATTTGCCAATTTATCGAGTGTGTCATAATTATAACTTTATATGCGATACACGTACTAATTAAAAATTCCTTATAAGTATGATCCAATAATTTTTGCTTTTTCTTTTTTTCATTACACTAATATAATTTCTCCTATTTTATAACATAATACCCAACTATTGTATTTTGATTTATTACTTTATTTTGTTTATTGTATGATTATGAACAATTTTCTTTCGCCCCAATTATAACTCTATTATTATAATCAATTTAAGTTTCAATTTTGTTAATTTTTCTATATTTCTGCTCGGCTGTTATTGAACAATATTTGAGGTTGCCCTGTAGACTGGATAGTCTGGATAATAAATATTTTACGATGAAAAGTGGTATGTCCACGAAACAAACAATAAACCAAAACCATCAAGGAAATAGTTATTGCAATCTTCCAAGGAAAAGTATATAGTATACGGCCCCATTAAAATGTTTCGCTTTTTCTCAGGGGAAACAATTACCAAAATTGATGTTAAAAAGAAAAATCCTGTAATAAATGTATATAACGAGGTATATAATGTCTATTATAAAATACTTGCTTAATTCATATTATGACACTGTATGTCACCTCATTAAAGTGAATTGCACCTCTAAAGATAAAGAGCCATAGTTCCTCTTTGTTCACAACGATAATCTCTAGCCAAAATTCTCGCTGCTCGCCTATAGTTTAGCTCTCTGTGAAACTCTTTTTGTAATATGTAAATAAATATTCCCTGCTATTCCCTGACATTCTTTCAATTCAATATCTTCTCATATACTTTAAAAATATTCAAGAATACGAGAAAAACACACAAGAATACTATATAGCTCGTAATAAGCTCATTTAACCGCAAGGAAATGAATTTTTATGGAAGGAAACATCTGAAGAAGCTTTCTTCATAGTTTTTCAATTTTTCATCGGTATCAAACTTCACTTCACAGTCGAAGAATTGAAAAACAAATAAAATGAAACGTGAAAATGAAATTTAGCATTGATTATTGTTTTATTACAATTCAATTTCTTTTACATATGTCTATACCCATCGTAATTGATTGGTCCAACGAACTGTAATACTACCTACTAAAGGTCTAATAAATTCGCAATGTAAATTTGATCACTTTAAATTGAAGCGTACACTTGCCACTATTTTCCGCTTCCACGTTTCTCCGGCAGATTATTGAAGCTTAAACTCTAGTCTTTTTGTTACAACAAGACTATTACGTTGGTGATGTACGTAATGATTGCATGCAATAGCTGTAGCGTAACAGCTGTATTACATGTGGCAGAAAACGTTATTGATCTATAAAATTTTATTTCTTGAAAAATGTTCTCTCTACGGCGCCGTAAATCAATAAGAATGGCGCTGCGGATATTTCCTTAATGTTATAAGTCATTGTACCTAGCACAGGTTTCAGTCTGTCATATTAGAGCAGAATCCATTCTAATTTGGTTCGTGTTCCTAATTAACATTCAACACGTCGTACAACTTTAACTTTGTATGCTTCGGGTTTACAATCAGAAGTGTTTTTGAAATGTGTAACATGTAATAAAGATGCCAAAATTGTGAACACCTGCCGCACTGATTTCGCACCTGCTCCGGAAGCCTAATTATAATTCCTTCCTTTTAATTTCGGCTTATTTTCATTACGGCGCCATGCGGATTAAAAATGCCTTCATTCTTGGGGCTGCACAATGCACTACAGAGCAATATGAATACAGAGGAATATCTACCTGAGAACAGGTTTCAATGTAACAGCAGGTTGAAAAATGCAATTTTTTCGATCTCTCCTTTGAATGATTGTCTAATTAAATTGATTATATCGATTTCAGGTTCAACGATTCCATTACATACAAACACTGGACGGGTCTAAATTATGAAATGAATCAGTGATTTGTCATGGTAATCATACAACGCTATAATTATCCTTTTAAACCAAGCTCTAATAACTACTTTTTAGCTTTAATAAATTTTGAGGAGTAGCGTTTATTCGCTTCGTTTGCGAAGTTTAAATTGGTTTTATTATACCACTTAATTATCAAGAACTACTATGTAAATGACCCGCTAAGTTATTTGTATAGGCACCTTCATCTATTGCGTTTCGATCGTCAAGAATTTGCGAATAAAAATGCTAAAATGCAATATGTCACACTTGTGCCGTAAAAACTCACTGGGTTACAGCTACCCTTATTAACACATTATGTGATGCGCTGTAATGAATAGAACCAAAGCTATCTAAATCTTATCAAATATCAAAGTTAATTACATTAGTATCTTCCGTAGCAAGTGCAGTGGACCTCTATTTTTTTTAATGATCCACAACAATGACTTGATACACTTACATTGTAAAAAGTATGGCTGGTCATCCAACTGGCCGCACCGTATAATTTCTAAACCTACTCAATCTTATTCTGCTCTTCTAAAAACCGTCCCAGTCTCCAGGTGCTCATTTCAGACCAAATTCAAAAGGTCCATAACTGCCAGGCCACAAATAGGTTTTTAGTGCAGATGTGTATTTCACCATCCACTATTCGTAAGTAACTTTCTTGTACCTACAGCAGATTGCTTGGATGTGGTCAAGGTGAACGTGTTATTTAAGTACCTCTACACCACTGAATGCATCTCGTCGTTTAACAAAAGGTCGTCAATCTCGCCAACTGCTTAACGTTCTTTACGAGTGAGACCAATTTTTCCGATAAGATTTGCATTCTTGTTCCAAAATTGGTACACGTCTAAACTTGATCTTAAATTCTAACGTCTGATGTATATTAAATTTCGGTCGTGCATCGTTGGCCACAATGTCTTCATATAGTGTTTCGTTTCATTGCTTGAAACAAAGCCAGCCGGTGGAACAATAAAAGAATCGTAAACAAACTCTTCATTTGCATTACAACCCGTTACAATTACATAAAAGCGGAATCCTTAAAGTTTCTTTAGTAGAGCAAGGGAAGGTCGTATGGAAATATCTATTGGCATTGACTGCTATATCTTCTACCTACTACACGCAACTAACGCATTTCTTTTTTTTTTAGAATGTGGTGGACAATTACCGGCAACTTCGGAAATATACTACCGATCGATTGGTCAAAGTCGTGCGCTCGAAAACTTCATATGCCTTCACTGAACTTAAATCAAAATGAAGTAAGTGGAAGCTGACTGTTAACATACCATTAAGTAGATGAGTAATTCCGTTTTTTTTTAAATTAAATAAACAGTTGGTTTGGTAGTTAAATGCTCTTAATTGAACAAACCGCTGTTGTGGGTGACATCACCGAGTTAATGTAATTTATCATACTTTAAGGACAATACTAAATAGGAATGTACCCATTTCAGAATATTTTAACACCTGATGACGATTTGGAGTTAAGCTCGGAGGATGAAGCGGTAGCGAATGATTTAGATATGCACGCTTTAATTCTTGGTGGTTTGCATCAGGATCAAGAACCTCTGAAGACTGCAGACGAGGTCATTCGCGAAATTGACGATATGATGCAGGAAGAAGACGCATCTCTGGAGGTTTCGCCAGACTCAAGAGACACCATTGACACCAATGAAACTTTAGAAAAGGCTAAGGAGGTGTTGAGTTCACCGTTATACGAAGACAGTAGGTCAAAAATAAGCGTTTTAAAACATAATGAGGTCCTTTTGTAGAGCTTCGCGATCTCAGTTTAACCCAACTTAACGAATTGTATATGGAATTAGAAGTTTTAATTAGAGAATTTTCGGAGACGTTAATTACGGAACTGGCATTAAGAGACGAATTAGAATATGAAAAAGAGCTAAAGAACACATTTATTTCATTACTGCTTGCAGTGCAGAATAAACGACGACAATACCACGTTGAGAAGAAACGAAGTTCAAAAGGAAACGCCCTACGTCCTCCAAGTGGATTAGATCCAAAGGTTTGAGAGCAAGTATTATAAGTGAAACCTTTTCTAAAACCCCAATTTTTCAGTATTTAACCACCGTTATTCCATATCACCTAGATAGTGGCCCGCCCGATAACCAAGCCCTCCAAGTTCTTATTAAAAGTAAAAGATTGCAAGAAAGTAACTTAATTAAATAAATAACCTTTGATTTTTAGTTTTAAAGGCGATTAATGAAGATAGTCCTACTGTTCCAACCCTTTTAACAGATTATATATTAAAAGGTAAGTAGATTTAGGTTCAATATTTTAATTTATTTCAACAATTTTACCCCAATAACAAATCCACGCTACGAATTTTGTGAACTAGGTACATAAATTATTCCTAATCGCCCTTTCTGTTTCAGTGATTTGTCCTACATAGGAGAAATTGTTTGGTAACCCTTAGTAAAAGCACAGTATGTTACATGACAAATAAGCTGATGTTTACTCTAGGAAAGAAATTCGAGATACCTTCTGTTTTTTTTTAATTTATGCTAATTTTGTTATTCATTTTTTATATTGTTCCTCATGTATATTTCTTATTTTTTAAAAACGAAGTTGTAAATAGCGTCTGCTTCAGAATCTAGTCTAATTAAATAAGTAAGAGTCGTATGAATGTGATGGAAAAATACTTGCTATATTGCTGCACATATTTTGAAGTTTATTAATGCTGCTGATGTTCACAATATTGCTATGTTACTTTTAAGTGTTTATGTAAAAAAAGTGATATTAGTTTAATTTTTAAATGATATTTATTGCATAGTTAAATCCTTGCCATATTTTTTCAATGTAGCTTTAAATTTCCTAAACAGAAACAATTGTATTTGTAAGAACATCTAAGAAGCATGTCAAGTATAAATGTCTTAATGTTGTTACTACAATTTCTGTTCATGTAGAGTTAATTGATTCCTTAAATAAAGCTCTGGTTCAACACTTTACACCTTTATTTCAACTTTTTGCATTTTCAAGTCTTGGAAATTTGACATGAATTCCTGAGCACCTGATAGACATTTTCCCAGAGTGAAAATAATGGGTAGGCCTCGTTTGCTTTATCAAAGACAAGTTGTCCAATTCAGGTCTTCGTAGTATCACTGGGCACCCTGTAATTTACCTATTAATTACGAATTGATCATCCAATCTAATGCGAGGGTCCTCAAACTTGAACTGCTGGCGATCTACCTTGTTAGACTGAGATCGATCGACACTGAGAGGCTGCAAGTATGTGTGATGAAGGATGGTTATGTAGGTAGGTAGGGTGTATCGTCGCGCAGGTATAAGTGTTACCGTTTATGTGCGGATAACTGTTAAAGTCCAGATTATCTAGTTAATCTGCAAATTATCTAGTTAAGTCAGTTAAATTGCAAAAAATGCTTTTGCTTCGCAGATTACCGCAGACAACAGCAACTACAAGTACTCGATAATATTGTCACCAATTTTCAAGAACATGTATCATCACATTTTTATTTTACCTATTGATTTTTCTGATCACAACATGCAAATAATATTACAAAAAAAATGTAAAAAGAGTCCAAGATTATTTAGATTAAGGCCTCATATTACTAAAAAAAATATTAATTCACTTACCAACACCTTTCGTATCAAAATTTTTTAATTTCATTATACACGAAACCCCAAAAGTGATTTGGGGTCTGTGTGCTTCAAAACGTTCAGAAAACGCAATATTGGCATATCGAAAATTTATCACCCAACAATTTACCGTAAAAATGATTTGATTTAAGCATTTTTTAAATAAAAACTGATTAAGAACTGTAGGTAAAACTTCGTTACAGTACAGGTCTGCTTTTGATACTTTATGCTTTAGAAAAGCTCAAAAAACCTAAGAATTAAGACCGGTATAATAATAATAATATCCCTTTATTTTAAACTCAAACCGCCTTCATAAATATAAAAATAAAAAGAGATTGAAATTAAATGTCATGTTCTAAGCTAAAACTAAAAATTACATTTAACGGAAAAAAAATATACATTACTTGTATTAAATCAACTTAACCCACAAAATTAAATAATTTCTGATAGTCGACGAGAGACAAGATGTGCACGCTAAATGATAACATGTTGCATGCACATCATGCTAATCGTAGACACCCCCCTTAAAATTTATGTTTAAAAAATAAAATAATAATAAAATAATCTTTCTTTAATATATTTTAATTAAAAAATGTATGTCACATCTGTTTAAGTAAGTACCTATAAGCGTTATTGAATATTCAATTGTATTAGTTAATTTTTAATTAATAATATATTTTAATTGTGAACTGTAGCAGTACCTAAGCATTTTAATTTAATTTGTGTGTGAATTGTAAATAAATACCTGCTCATGCAGGATCGATACTGCCATACGTTAAAAGTACCTAAACAATTGCTTTAAAATTTCCCTGGGCGCAAGAGGGTGATCACGAAACGCCTCTCACGCTATATAGTGATAAAGAGATACCTATTTTTCTACTTCCACAATGACGAATTTTTATACTTTATAGTAAATTTTTAGGTTCTTCGACAGGTTTATTCGGTAGTGGTCATACAAAGTGGTGTAAAGAAACAAACAAACAGAGCCAGTCGCACTTTAGCAGAAAATTCAAAATAAACATTTGGGACTAAAGTAGTTGATGGAAATGAAGGTGCACTTTCATTGATCGATTAACGCACACTAAAATGTATCACGAACGGTTGGTTTACCTAATTCATGTTTATTGAATAATCGATTAAGCACTTATAGAAACAACAAACATTTTGTTATGAGTAAATACTAATTTTAAGCTTAGCATAGGTATTTATTATTCGATATCGATCTATGGTACTATATTATAAAATGCGTTAGCAGCCTTAGGTGACTTGTAAAATGTAATTGAGCTAATGATGAATGATCGTACCTATAAAGTAAGTTTATGCATGACTAAATAATTATCA